ATTGTTTGGTTCGGAAGAAGAATGCCTCTTGACGGTCTCAGTATAAATGTGTTTGAAATGATGAGAATGTGTACCCATGGAACTGTGCATAAAATGTAACGTTTAATCTAAAGATGACGTTATCGATCATTACCAGGGATCGATCAAAGAAAAGAAATTGCTTGTTAGTCGTTGAAAATTCGAATTGATAAAAGGCATGTCGATAAATAAATTTAGAAATGATGTTCGAGAGCACGAGAATTCCCAAGTGTTTCTTATCTTCAAGCTGGCATCTACTGTCCAATCGTTAAATGGTCGCGATGAACGTGGAAGGTGCAAGCGTTGTTCCCAAATAATGTTATGACGTGCACGGACCTGGGGACAATTCGGAAAATACGGGCTGATTTCAGCTTTGAGCGTTAATCTCTGCCTTATTTAAAAAGCTAGCTATGTGTTTTATATATCATTTTGAAGTATTTTTTATTCGCATTTCAGTGAAATTATTTTTTCTTCAAAATTTTGATAGGATCCAACATATTTTTAAAGTTAAATATATCCCGACATCGTCAAATACGCTGTAAGACGTAACACTTTACACTTACAGGGCTCGTTGAAATTGGGATAACTTTTCAAATAATGATCAAAATCCCACTAAAATTTCACAATTTATTCAATGGAACATGTTCATTTATGACGTCACAATTGCTTAACGGCTACAGTTCAAATTATCATATATGAACGCTTTTAAAATTTTCAAAATTGTGTAAGGTTTTGAAGGCGAATGGGACGAGCAATACGTTTACCTTCATTTAACCTTCTAATTCAAGTCTGATTTGAAAAAAAATTAACTGCACAATATTGTCATGGCGAAATTTACAAAACAATAACCAGTTTGTTCATTTTGCAAATAATATTAAAATAAGAGCTGGTTTTCGAGACTTGAAAAAAATGTGACGCATCGATTTTTACCACAAATTCCATACATATCAATTTTTACCATCGCCCCAAGTGAATTTCTTGACCGTTTTTCAAATTTCAAAAACATTTTAGAAATACTGTCCTCGAGATCTTGCTACCCTGTGAATTTTGTCATGATTAGATAAGGATAAAGTATTTTATTTTTAGGTTGACTAAACTTGACAAAAATGTGACGCTTGTCGTTTTTGACGTTGTAAGGCTGTTTGCGCCCTATGCTGCTCATTGTTTTGTCTTGTTTTTTTGACGCCATAATGTTACGCTAATTGTCCCCAGTTTCGTGCGACGTGTATGTATATCTTAAGTTCGTTTTCTTCAAACACGGACGTGTTTAGGTGATGGAACCTCCAGTTCAAGCACACATGGGTACCAGAACGAATACATCTTATTACAAGAATATGCTAAATTTTCCACGATCTTTAAGGACCCGGATGATATTCGCAACACTTCTGGAACTTAAAGTAAAATGAGATGTTTTGCGACAGGGTTGTTAGGGTCTACGACAGTCATTAGTTTGTCGTAACCTTTGCATTCCTACGTTGATCGAATCCTGTACAATATACGCCATGAGAAAGATCTGCTTTACCGCTGAATAGTAGATGGGTTAATTCTACATTTGGACTTCATTGTATGATGCAAATGTCCCCTTTGGCATGGAAGTACCTTAGGGCAATAGAAATAAATTTATCCAAAGACACAAGCTAGATGGCGCTTCATATTTGAAATATACACATTTTTCAAAATGGCCGCCAAAAATACATCAGAGACAATATCTTTGATTCTGTGCATGCTACAATTATAAGATTGGTGTCAAAAAATACAGCGATGTAGTCGTATAATCTATTTTATTAGATCTTGAGTCTTGAAAATTAAGAAATTCCACTATATATTCAAAATATACGCGTTTTTCAAAATGACTGCCAAAAATATAACAAAAAGATATCTTGCTTTACGAATACTTACAAATTAAGATATCTTACCTTACAAAATGTCCCCTTTGGCATGGAAGTACCTTAGGGCAATAGAAATAAATTTATCCAAAGACACAAGCTAGATGGCGCTTCATATTTGAAATATACACATTTTTCAAAATGGCCGCCAAAAATACATCAGAGACAATATCTTTGATTCTGTGCATGCTACAATTATAAGAGTGGTGTCAAAAAATACATTAATGAAGTTGTAGAATCTATTTAATAAGTTTCGAGTCTACTCATGTAAATTCAGCACTTGCACTTTATATTCAAAATATATGCATTTTTCAAAATGGCTGCCAGAAATATAACAAAGAAGATATCTATCTTTGCTTCTTAGCATGGTACAATGATAAGAGTGGTGTCAAAGTAAACATTAATATTCGGTTGTAGAATCCACTTAAATAGGTCTTTCATAATAAGAATTTTCACTTTATAGGAAATCATGTGTTTTTAAAAATGGCCACCAGAAATATAACAATGATGATATCTTGACATCAGTGCATGCTACACTGCTACGATTGGTGTAAAAAATTTATATTTATGGGGTAGCAGAAACAATTTTATTTAGTCTTGTGAGATTATAGTTTTCACTTTATATTGGAAATATACGCAGCTGAAAATATAACAAAGATTGTATCTTTGTTTACAAGGATTGTACCTTTGCTAACAAAGATTGTACCTTTGCTAATAAAGATTGTATCTTTGCTAACAAAAATTGTATCTTTGCTAAAAGTTTCTTTACTTCTGGGCATAATATTTCATAAAATTGGCTTCAAAATCTACATTTTTAGCAATGTAAAATCTATTTAATTACTCAGATGCAAGTAGGTTGTTACCATTTCCCCACCAGGTGGTTAATTCGGGTGAAATAACATTGCAGGGTATTACAAAGTTCCCTTAAACTTGAATATTCTTAATTTTTAGTGGTTCACATTTCATATTACTCTTTTGTATCTGATAGTTATACAAATTAAAATATCTCCAGTTAAAGAAGATATTATCTGCACAACACAAGAATATTTCACTTTTGGTGTTTTACAACATGGGGACTATGGGGAATCTCCCTGACCTAAATGTCACATTGTTGAAGAAAATTCAATTTTAAAGTTGTTGAACTCATTTCTAAACCACATTTCTTGATGTATTTTTTCATGACGATTCCAAATTCAACATCAGTTAGACTAAATGTTTAATTTTTAATGACAAAAATAAAGATTGTTACTACTCACATCTAGCAAAATGGATTATGAGCCTTAAAAATAATCGTTTTCGCCTTAACACAGCAAATGTGTATTTATCTTTCAATGTTCTTTTTACTCAAATTCACCAGAAAGACCAGTGTCTCTTTAATAACTTGCAATAAACAAGCATCTGCAATGGTAGTGCAACTTAAGTTGTTGCAATGCAACATACATAACAGAGAAATGTGATAGATAGAAACCACGCGGGTACATATGTACCTATAGTTAGAAAGGGCCAGAAACCTTCTGGCGAGAGAAAATCTTGAAGATCGGAATAGATTTCAAAGGCTGCATATTATGACAGAATTGCAGAACCCTCTTCATCTCCTCTGACCAAATCATGGACGACGTCTTTGTTTACTGTTAAAACAATGCGGTTTATTTCAAGTGAAGTCCCCATGATTGTAAAATATGAATCCAACTTTCTGGAAAATTATGGATTGGCACCTTGGAACTTTTTTAAATGTTAAACTTATTTTGTAAAAAGATGATCTTGTTTTTTCTCAATTAAAACATATCAAAAGTTTCCTCATTTTATATCAACAATTACTTAAAAGGGAACGGTATTTGCAATGCGCTGAAGTTGAAAACCACATCTCCCATGCTATCCATTGTTTTCAGCATAGTTTCCTTCATCGCAAATTGATATTCAAAATTACACTTTCAAACTATTCCACTTTTGAAGAAGTTTAGGAGCCCTTGTTAGATATATATTTTTTTAAATATTTTCCACAGCCATTGAAAAAAGGCATACATTTTCAATAAAAATTGAAAATGTTTGTAAACTAATAGACATACAGTACAATTTCAAAATTTCCGCTGATTTAAACATTTTGGTGACCATTTAGTCAATGCTAACTTAATGATGATCTAACTTAATAATGATCCAACTTGATATAATGTAACCATACCTTGACGGCATATCTAGTAAGTAATAGCTAATTAACTCCTTCTCTGGAACATTTTGAATTTTCTGAGGTATTAATCATAAAATTAACACCATCTCTTCAATTTAATTGAGTACATATGGCCATACTTTGAAGGAATCTGAAAATAATTGCAAAATCATTCATGAGACAGACGATGGACTGACAGACTGACAGATGGAGGGCTTCACTATATCCCCACTGGACTTTCTTCGTTGGGAAAATAAAGACTATAAACCTTATCAAATGAATTCTACCACTTATTAATGTATACTTGGACATCAATCTTACTACTGTAGCATGCATACAAGTGAAGATATCATCTTTGTTACATCTCTGGCAGCCATTTTGAAAAAGGCATAATTCTTTTATTTAAAGAGGGAGTTCCTAATTTTCAAGACTCAAACCCATACTAAATTGATTCTTCACCCACAAAATGTATATTTAGGCACCAATCGTATCATTATAGTATGCATAGAAGAAAATATATTGTCTCCGTTGTATTTTTGGCGGCCATTTTGAAAAATGTGAATATTTCCAATATAAAGCGCCATCTGGCGTGTGTCTTTGGATAAATTTGTTTCTATGGTCCTAAGGTACTTTCATGTCAAAGGAAACGTTTGCATCATAGATTGAAGTCCATACCCCCTAAAATGCAGTTAACCCATCTACTAGAACTCCATGTTATATATAGACTCCTCAATATACAAAATATTATTTTTATTTATATTAAAGTGAAATCAATATAGTAGTATTGAAGATCGAGATTGTTTCTATCGGATGGAATATCAAGATAAAAACATAATTATGGGAAAATATAGATGTCATATCAGTGAGAGAGCCTACTTTCTAACCAGCGTTTCGGGTATCAACAAGCGAAGCCCCCCCCCCCCCCAACCTACCTCCTATCGTAAACAGACCTAAGTGGAGGAAAGGCATTCGTAACAATGGCTGATAAATTAACGAATTGAAGAAGTGTATTTAAAAACTAAACATTACTCTCTTGGAGTGTCAAAATAGACTGTAACGTTTCTCGTGAATGCCATGTTGGAATTTCTCGTGGACGCCTTTCCGAGCTATTGTAGGTGTTTTCCGGTTTGTCCTTCCGTGTTAGAAACCTACATAGAGGGTCTAACATATGTTGCCTATCGATGATCAGGAAGACTGAGAGGAATGCTGCAACAATTGTGAAGATACCAATCAATGTAAAATAGGACTGCATGTCATCAAGGCTATTGCGCCACAGAATGTTCCAACATATACCTCCTAAATTTCCTCCCGCGGCAACAGTTCCCGCAACGAGACCAACTCTGATTGGCCAAACAAAGGGGACCAAACTGAATGTGGTGCCCTCTGTTATTTGAACAAACAAACTCCATATGATCAAAGTACTTATAGCTGTGGGTAGAGTAGTCATGGCCCCAAATACAATCATAAGTAAACCTGCCAAAAATTGAGCAACACAATGAGTCATAATTCTTCCTGAAATTCCATATCGTTTGTTAAAAATGTCAGAAAATAGTCCCCCGAATAAGCGAGCGAACAGATTCATGAGGCCAAAGATGGAAGTGATGAGGCTTGCGGTTGTGGGATTAAGAACGCTACAAGCGTAGCTTTGATCTATAGAACTACTTTCATTTGTCGATGAGGCCACAGTACTACTATTGCAACCATCGACTTTGAATTTTTCCAGGAGGTATATATTCAGTATAGTATTAACCGATATTTCAATACCAAAACAAGCCCCATATTGTATCAAAAGAATCAAAATGCCAAAAATCCTAAATCCAACGTGGCTTCTCCATGCCCCATTCTGATCGTCAGGCATGTGAAAGGAACGCCAACTCCGAGATATATTTGAGCTTGCACTGGATACGGACCTCCGGTTAATGACAAAGTTACTGCTAGTCTCGATGGAATTGTCAATGCCACTGTCATGGTTTGTATCACTTATTGTTCTAATAGACGTTGATGTATAATCCCCTATGGAACGCTGGGACTCTATATCAGTTATGCTGCCTGCAACAATGAAAATTAGATTAGAACATAAAGGTCAATGTTTTTTGTGACCGATTTGAATAGTCTCACTAAGCCGTAAACTGTTTGGAAATCCTAAATGACACTTTTTGAGGATGCAAAAGACATTCGAAATTCCTTATTAAAATTTGAAATGCTGATTTTAATGACTTGGCCATAGTATGATAGGTTAAACCACAAATCGAGTGTCAAATTGAGTCTTCCCATTACGTAAGTAGCTGAACACAACTCTAGTGCACAGCCATTTTAGTAAGAACTTTTATTTCCCAGCCATATATATTCAAAAGCAAATGTCCTCTTTCTAGGTTTGTGTGGTGATTTCTGTAGAATTGTTTTGCTAAACTATACCAACCAGATATATATGCAAGGTTTCCTCTGCCTGTTTCACTGCCAGGTGTGTCACATTCAATCCTGGGGTTAATCACAGCTTCAATATTTATCATCGGGGAGGCCCTCAGATACCAGGGTCCTTGGGGGCAGTCATCAGCCAAGAACCAATAGGGCAATGCCAACATTAGCACAATGAATACTGGGATACTAAGTGTAATCTTCCATGCTGATGATTCATCCGCACCGAGGCGTATCAGTTCGTATAGTGCTGACATTAACAGAAACGCCACACCACCACCCAGATTACCCCAACCAGCGACAAGAGCGTTAGCCGTGCCGACAACATTCGAACTAAACATGCTCATTGTCCACATTTGGCACGGCACGAACACCCCACCTAGGATCCCAATGAATAGGCGTACGATGACGAGCCCATTGCCGTTGGTGACGAATGCTGCGAGGCCGACTGGAATAGCACCGATACATAGGAGAACAACCATAGTTCGTCGTGCTCCATAACGATCACAAAACGGCCCTGCAGCTATCCTGACAATTATGACTGCTGCAACACCGGATATTCCTGTAAAAATAAACCAAAATTAAATATTATAATCATAGATTGTTCGCAACCAACACGTATTTGAAAATTTTTGGATTATCAGAATCTAATCTTTGTACCTTTTGTAAACAAGACCAAAGACAACTTGTCGTCTCCTTTTTGATGTAAATTGGAAATGGATTTGATAGAAGGCATTAAAAAACTGGTTACCGGAATCAACAGTACTTTGTGCAAAACAGAATATTTTGATAAGACCAGTATGAATAAATGATAGAACAATTATCCTGACACTAAATATGCATGCTGTATGTATATTAAAAAGACAGGTTTACTGGTATGCAAACACTCAATATACGACTAATACTTAAAGGACATAAAACAAGTCTAAGAACTTAATGCTGTAATATTGGTTAGATGCCAAAAATAAATACACAACAAAGAAAATGATTCTAAAATATGTGATATAGTTGGACGAAGCAATATTGTATGTAAATGTGACCAACTTCACATGTTTTTTTTATAAAAATAGATAAAGAAAATTATATTGGTTCCAGGTCAGTCGTTCTTCAACTGTGGGGCCTTAACCCAGATTTTATTGTGTTTTTATATTAACAAATGCATCAAATTCAATAGGTAATTCCATTGGGTAATTCGTTTGCCTAAACATATTGAGGGCCGGGTATTGTTTTTGAAGGCTGCTGTTTTTGTCACATTTTAATCTAGAATTTAATGATAAAGTGATGATTCTTAAAGGGACATGTATTTAAAGTAGGATTTCGATTTTTGAATGGAGAACTTACAAACTTACATTAAGTAATGTTGTTTATGATTTCAGCCCTGGACTCAGTGAATTGTGGACTGGTCATTCCTCAAAAGGTGGAATGAATCGGCCACATTGCATTGAGTCTTGGGCTTAAGTTCTTTTCACACATTGCAAAATATTTTCTACGAATCATCTAAAAGATACGAAATCACTAACCCTACTATCACACCAAACTAGTTCTCACTACGTTCTCGAAAACGGGCTTCAACTGTGTACGAACGGACTGGACCTACTAAGAACCGTTTGGGATCTATTTACAAACTTCATCGAACGTACTCGAACGGGTAGGTCCTCTAGAACTTAGACAATGCTCAAAATGTTCTCGTGGTCGTCACGTTCTACAATTATAACGAGTGACAACGTACTAACGACGAGCTGGACGTACTACGAACGGAACCGTCGTACTTCAATCCTACTAGGGACGTTTTAACAACGAGTTGAACTGTCTGAGGACGTGTTGAGAACGAGGTAGAACTAATTGCAAACGGGTTTAAACTGATTAAGAATGTATTTAACACTGCTTATTAACGAGTTAGCAAAAATATAGCTATCACACCAAACAAGTTGCCACTGCGTTCTTCAAAACTGGTTTTAAACTGTGTGAGAACGGAATGAACGTAGCTGCAACTTTCTAAGGTCTATTTACGAACTTTATGAACGTTCTCAGACGGAAATGTGATTTTAGAATTTTGAATCGATTCAAAATCCGATGGCGACCATACCGTTCTGTAATCAGGTCATGTTGACCTTCTAGACTAAGGGACGCGTTCTACGACGTTGCATACCGACGTGGTGCGACCTGAACGAACTGCAAACGAGATGGACGTATTGAAGACTGTTTAAAAACGAAGAAGCTAATTATTTCAGACATATTTCCCGACCACAGCCAGATTGAGCCCGTTTTACGACGTTTTCGTAGGACTGGCAAGAACAGGTAAGAAGTAGTTTGGTGTGATAGGGGGGTAAAAGAACATATTTTTAATGAAACTTTTTGCGAGTATCAAATGGGCAAAGTATCAATTTCAATCTGTAGAATCAAGTTGTCACCGTGATAACCATCCGACGAATGGCCTTGAATTGTTGGTTATATAATGCAATGCAATTATATGAAATAGGGTGTTTGGATTGGCTGTAATCGGACACACCTTGCCTAGCTATGTGTGAAAGTGCTTACGAGCAGATCTACTATATATTGTTTTATCATATCATGCATGATAGAACATGGAATGAATTATAATTTACCGGAATTAGCGAGATCCTCTTTCGTTAGTCCTAAATCCTTTTTGATATGCGGGAGAAGGGGTTGAATGCAAAACCACGCTAGAAATGCTATGAAAAATCCAAACCATGAGAAATGGAATGCTCTCATATGTGGCCGTTTTAGACTCAGCAGCCATATACGTTTTGCCTTTCCGAACTCGTCCGTTTCGAGCTCTTGTCGTTCCTGAAGCTTCTTCCAGCAGCCATTGCGTAAGTCTTGCAAACTAGTAGACGAACCCCTAGTTTCAGCAGCCATATCATCTGATGAACGGTTAGTTTCAAATTATTTATGAAACACCCGCGACCTTTTGATAGTTCGTGCTAGAATGCACGAAGAGACCGGTGCATCACCAGGTAACTAAAATTCATGGTTATACTTAAATAAGAGGAGGGAATACCCAGAATCCATGTAACGATGAACCTTTAAGGTTGATTTATCTATCAATTCTAGGGTAACCCCTCTTATAAAATGCCGTTCATTAGTCTTACACGTGAATTAAATCATTTTTGTCAAGGTCATCCGATAAAACTTTCATAACTCTAATGAATAACTCAATACTATTCAGTTTCCGTATGACCTGTGTCAGCGCAACCTGATCATTTGGAATTTTACCATCCCCGCTCGTAACAAGTAGTTGACGTGCGATTCACCGGTAAAAGAACTGAAATGTAAAAATCCAGTCATGTTTCAAGTTTAATGGTTCTCATCTGTTTGAAAAAACGCATTCAGTTCACTTAATAAGATATGGAGGAGCAATTTGACAAACGTCTTCATAAGCTGAAATAGTTTTATAAAGGATTGTTGTTTTGATTGATAAGATTTGACTATTTCTGATTTTTAATATCATTGTTGTTATTTCCAATCATATCAAAGTATATTTGAAAGTACCATATACCAGTATTTTATTTGTATAAAAAGTTAAGTTTTAACCAGGGGTACATGTAAGTAATTATTTAAATGTATCTCTGATCTTTTGTCATAAATCATTTTTTAAACATAAATAGGCTACGTAGCTTCGAGCTGTGTACATGAATATGAAATTAGAAAATAATTGAAAACATACACCAGGGTTCTCACCAGGTATAGAACCACGTTTAGAACCCGGAAAAGTCACCATTCAAAGATTATTAGGAACAAAATCGATTGTCTACACACTCTCTGGCAGTGCTAGCCCTTAAACTATCTATTCTGAGAGGATTGATGTTCGGTCTGTTAGGGAATATACTGGATGCGCGAGATTAATTTTTGCGCACAGAATTAGTCAATTGCATTTTATGTGCGATATGAGTTGGCGCAAAAAGTTCCCCTTGTATAGTGATCGTAGTCTGCCATCTTTGTTTTGCTATAGTGTCAAGGCAGAACACTCATGGCAAGAACGTTGGATCTGTATTATTGATGTGATGCTCATTTTGTTTATATTGTTTCAGTAAATTCTCTAATTTTACTACAAATTTGGTCTACACTAGTTAATCAAATTCTCTTTCGTATCAAGAATGTAATCTATTACTTAAAAATGTTTCTCTCATGTATTGTTTACAGGACTGGGACAGGAATTCGAACAGGACTGTATTCACGCCTTCTATAAACTGTGGACAAAGTCTATATTTCAAACGGTATTTATTTGTCGATACAATACGTGGTCCATCCAAGGGCGTTACAATACCCGGGAATTTATCGGTTCGTGCAGTACTTGTTTGTGATAGCGCCATCTGCAGGTCACTGTGGTTATAGCCTACATAATACGGGGTAGGATATCAGGAATTCGGTGCAGTTTCTATCCGTCGATTACGCTATGAATTGAAGCAAGTGTGACCACTTTATCCACTTAAACAATTTGATAATTGATTAAATCGTTAAACAAAATCGATAAACACGTCATACACTTCCCATCTCCTTAGAAATTAGCATGTATTTATCGGGTTGTGTTTTCGGACGATGCTCGACCCAGACCACTAGGGAAATCCTTATGCTAATTAGTATGACGTCATATTTTCCTGGGGAATCCTAGATTTCAAAGCCTCGGTCTTTTATTGTGTCAAATGTAAACGTTCTTTTGCAGACAGAAAATTGACAGATTAGCTTTTAACTTTCAGCTTTCATGTTTAAATATTCTTTATTTCTACCGGACTTCTTGCTGAATATCATATAATGTTATAACTTGATTTGGATTTTAGACGATTGCCTGATTGATCCTTTCTGAAATTTTGATTGTGATTCACGATTGATTGGCAAGAAAAATAATTCCTATTGTTTTCCAGCGAAGTCACTAAATGTTACAGCATAAATTATAATAAGTGGGAAAAAGAATAAAGGATGGGCGGGGCCAGGGGATTGGTGGCCCTACCAGCCCCACCAATTCACACGCATACACATAAGAGACAAACACACCCAGGCCGTGATGGAAATATAAAACTATTAAGGGCACAAAATGGTATTTAATAGACCGATATGTAGTGAATCCGCCATGTATTGAAGGTAAAACAATCTGCATTATTGTTACTTCTATCAATACATGGATTGTCCAATTGAAAAGCAATGGCACAATCAAAAATGTGCATATCAATCGTGAATATCTCTCGGTTCAAAGCATAATTCCAACAGAATCGTGTCAAAATATGTGTCTGAATAACAGTTATACATTATAAGATCGCAAACTCTTACAAATTATCAGCCGAATGGCTAATTTTCAACGAAATGTCCTTAAGACAACAGCCCTGGGTCGCGCCTATGACGAAAATAAGCTTGAATATCCCTCCCCTAAATAATATTGATAATCACATTTATGCGTGCGCGCGCAGCTCATTCACTGAACGAAACGCCACTTCCCGCTGAAATCACCGGGTATTGATCTTTCCCTTGGTCCATCTTCGCACGCTCGGTCTTCACTGCGTTCCGACCGACGGGAGCCGAGTGAACGAAGATGACATGGTCTGTACTATGTGTTTCGTCCAGATGGGAAACGAAGCGTTAACTCTCAAATTGTTGTGTTCGTTATATGTCCGAAAAGTCAGTGAAATATGTTATTTGGAAGACCGAATCATTTTTTCGGGCACACTGAAATCTGTTCAATGTTTCAGACAAAAAAGGGAATTCATGATTGATGATAAATACTACAAGGTAAATCTCCAGAGCTCGTACATGTACGGCTTACATATTCTGTATTCTTTTGTATGCAATTCAAAAATGGACATTTTTATAATTAATTTTATTCATCTTTATCATAAAATGCGTGATTGGGACCTTAATTATGTACATAAAAATGTATTATTAATTTGTGACAACTTGTTGAATGTCCACTGTATATAGATACGTGAACAGTGTACAATGGAAATGCGTCTTTGAATGTATTTAGTTAATAAATTGTCTTCATTTTCGCAAACATAGAATTTTTTTGAATGATTTTCTAAAGTCCTGATTAAAGAATGTATATATTATTGGGTTCAATGTACTGTTGAAATATCCTAACCATGTGAACACCGCTTCCATAATAGGGTGGAATACGCAATTTGGACAAAATGGTCTTATAAGAGCTACTATGAAAAAGGGCAGCCAGCAAATCACGAAACAGCCAACTATGATTCCAAGCGTTTTGGCTGCACGTTTTTCTTGAGCTAAAGCTTTACAAAGACGCTTCCGGTGATGCCGGCGCATGCGCCTTGCTTTACTCTGTTCTGAACGCGATCGTTTTTTCTTTTGTCTTTTCTGCAATTGTTCTGTATTTCCTGTACTTTCACTTTTCTCAAGTTTATCTAAAGTTGCATTGTCGGTTGTACTTTGACTCGTCTCAATATCACGGAACTTTGATTGAGAATCGGATGATTGGATAACATTTGCTTGGTTTTCTGCAAGGCTGCTACGTGTACTTATTGATGACAATCTATCTCTTTCTGTTGTACTCACCGACAATGTACTAATTGACCCTATATCCTTATCCCGACTTTTGCAAAGTCCGGATTTTATAGCTGATAAAATATTTTTGTCTTCAGCAGAGTTGTCATCTCCCGGTAGTTTGAAACCATTCGTATGATTTGATCTCCCATCTTCTGAATCATAGTCAACGTTGGTTTCCATGAATACGTTGCTTTCTTTGTCCGCATTCATTCTATTCTCGAGATATCTCATGTCTTCGAGACTTGAAGCTAAAGAGGAGTATTCCGGAGTGCATGTTTGTGAGATAGATAATGAGTTCATACTGCTTGTCGGCGAGACGCTCGAAGAATACACTGCTCGACTATCCAAGCTAGAGCGTTTACTCTCCATCCCAAGCCCAGGTTTCCCGCCATTTCCAATGTTATAAAACGGATGTAATAATTTCCCACATTTTATCTTGGTCGGATTTATCCCATCCGATGACGAGAATTCGTCTATGATGATATTATCTGAACGGATGATTCTTAGATTAATACCATGGTTTGCCCAACCATTTCCAGACCGTTTCTCCTTATTTCGTTCACACTGTTTATCCGTCTTTTGGTTCAGTCTCATGAACGCCTCCTTAAACTGGCAAAGTCCTTTTACTCGTACCTCTGTTTCCACTTTTATCTTGAGCTTCTTTTTACAATTCATGTTTATCTGGCAGGCCCCTGCGGATGTATGCACCCACTGTTTTCTTCTACTGACGGTTGCGTAAAACACTTTGCCATATAATACGATCATAACAACAAAAGGAATGTAAAATGCTCCAAATGTGGAGTAGATTGTGTAGCCCTTATCCTGGCTTATGATGCATAAATCAATTGGGGTTTCTCTCGGTTCCCTCCATCCAAACAATGGAGGAACAGCGATGATGACGGAGTACATCCAAGCAACAAAAATCATGACACCAGCTCGCCTGGCTGTCCGTTTCCACGCATACTCGAGTGGTCTGGTGATAGCGTTGTATCTATCAAAGCTAATCACGCAGAGATTAACTATACTAGCCGTGCAACATATGACATCCATTGAAACCCATAAATCGCAGAGGATGACCCCGAGATTCCAGCGTTTCATGATCTGAGCCACAATGGCCAAAGGGGTCACTACCAACCCGACTAAAAGATCGCTCACTGCGAGACTAACGATGAAGCTATTTCCAACCTTGCGGAGCTTAGGTTCAGTGCACACAGCTATGATAACTAAAATGTTTCCAAATATTGTCGCTAATATTATCAGAGCTGCTGTTATTGCGATTGTGTAGTCCATCGCTGTTAAGTTAAATACAGGGATAGGTGATTCTGTAAACTCTTCAAAGAAGGACGCATTTGACGTCATGTTTTCCGAAAGTGACACTCTTAGAACCTCGAGCGATTGATAAAATGTTTTTCCGGATCCCAAATGATGATAGCCTACGGAGGCATTATCCATTGATCTATACTGAAGGTCAGCATTATCTGTATCTCTATCAATAATAGAGCCAGGTGTTATGTTGTTGTTGATATTGGTAATGTTGTCACTCTTCTCTGAACCAATTACGAACGTGTCAGCTGTATCAGTATACATTGTTCTGGTTACAGCGTTGATTATCTCACCAACAAAAGAACCTCTATATGACGTTGCATTTCTAACCATTCTAGTTAATTAATCCCAATTATCTATTATTTCATGCAATTTATAGTACTTATATAGTACTTCCTGAGATCACTACGAAGTATAAATCTTTATCATAGAACAGCAAGCGTTCTTTAAGTCGTTATCACATTTAATAATGTTCAGTCTAAGTTTATATCTTGATAATAAACTTATCGGCTTCGTTTTGCCAGAGTAAAAGTATAAATGTTCGGAAAACATATGCAAACGTAGTCAATGGTTACTTAAGATTACTCCATCACAAAAAGCTTACTAATTTTTTCCAATTCATCAACAATTTAAGTAAATGCAGTCGGTCCGAGAGCAAATGTTCCTCTTGTTTAGTATAGGCCTAAATCTTTATGTTATCGTCAATGCCAATGCCCTGCTCTGTTATTACCAAGCACTTTGTTCAAGCTTAATGTACGACATATAAGTTAAAAACAACATCTGAGCTATTATTATGCATGAGTTGTCGCACTTGGGTATCCTCTCAGATCGATCTCCCCAGAAAGTATATCCATTTATTTATCCGTGTATTGTGTAGTGTTCTGCATTTGTTCGTAAATTTCCATTGGTCACGTGCTGCACTAAATCACCGAACGACCAGATAGCATCACGCACGTCAATATTGTGACGTCAACCTGAAAGTGAAAAACCCGTAAGTATGAAATATTTATCATCAACAAGTCATGATTGGACTCCAAATAGGTGGTTATAATGGAAAGCATGTTTTCTAAAGGTTTTTACTTGATTAGCGTCTGCCTTTGAGGTATTAGGTTTTAATACTAAAATGGGCTGGACGTTGATTTTTTTGATTTTAATGTACGTTCGCATTTTTAGTCCCCAATGCTATTATACCTTACATGAATACACACCACTTGATTGGCGTAAATTTATGAGAGATAAGAATTTCCCAAATTTATGAAGCATGATTCTACGAGGTCGCATGTTTAATTGATTGTTGTTTGTCCATGTTTTGAGTTTCTGATTCGTGCACGGATGGTATGGTATTCTAGAAGACGTAAATATATCGTATTTATAATCTCATGAGAGTCCATTTGTCGTGAATGTTCATTAGCTGGTGCCAGCGGCTTACTATCATGACTTCTTTTTATAACCCTAACTAAATCCATATAACCAATACGTATTTATTCCATAATTATATCGAATGACGGCATTATTCGTGATGATATTAATATCAACTGGTTGATCGAAACGATATCAATCAAAATATGATCACGTTCGTAAATTTGATGTTCACTTCGAATCCCTTATAAGTACACTTATATTTAGTACATGCGTCTGGTTCTTCTCCAGTCCTGACTCATGCTAGGCAATTGCAACTGATGCATTATTTACCATAGACTCTTCAATTAAGGAACAAAGAATGATCACAAATTACACCTCGAGAGACATTCAACGAACATTGCTTGCGGTTGACAGATAATAAAATACAGAGCCTTACCTGAGAATAGTAACTCTCCTAACACTAATTACCTGCAGGCCCACACTCTTTTAAATATAGATTTCCGTTTCTGCTTTTTATGGAATTTTATTAGCTTATTTTATCTCTTGTTACCTGAATATACTAGATAACCTTCACAATAAATCTCTACAACAAAATGTATAAGATCATTTTTTAATTAGTGGTTTGACATTTCAGTTCGGTAATACCACTAATAACTACACATAAATATAACCTATAACGTACGTTTTAATCATAAATCAATAATACGTTGTTAAAGTTAGAAATGCGTGTATCCTTATAGAAAGTTCTATCAAAGAAAGTGTTGACTCCGTCGGTTCCCTGCTTGAAGTGATAAGGATCATTCATACTCATCCCTGTCTCGCGACAACCAATTTACCCACGGCTTTCTGGAAAGGAATCGATAAAAGTCTCTCACTATTATTTAGATCGGATACCCCATTATTGTCGAAAACTTAAAAAACTTATCAAGACCTAGCTATATAGGATGAATAAAGTAGGAACAAAATAACTATTTCCGTATGTGTACAATAGCAATCAATCCATCCATTCATGCATTTAATCAAAGATTCGATAAAGACTACCCGAAACAGTTCTCTTGGTTTTTGCTATTGTTTGAAAATAACGTAAAGACACAAATATCCATTAAGATTAAATGCATGGTAACCAACATTTCTCTTGGCCTTGTTGGCTGACCCGAAAACGGCATTTTCTATACTTATTTGTTTTCATTAATTAATTAGCTAGGCGAGCGACTATATCATGATCATTGAAAGGAAAATGAAGATGCTGATCAACTATCTGATAGCAGTTAATTGGAAATATATTTTACAAGAAATAAGCCATCAAAGAATGATTATGTTAGAGATTACAGACGTATAGTCCAATTACAAACTCTGTTGACCACCCCAAAGAACTACAACAAAAAAACTACAACAAGGTGTGAGAAGACGTGTAGTCAAGAAGAAGAGGAGTCACGGGAGTTTGTAGCTAGACCAACTGTGCATTGGTCACTCCACAAAAATCACAAGTGCACAAAACGAACTACGATATTTTTGTCCAAAAGTGGATGGTCGTAGCCAGTCATGAGGAAGGCGAGGCATGTGTTTGACCAATATTTAAAGAAATACATATTATATATTGATCAATGTGTGTGTTCAACTTAGTCAATGAAGTTCAAAGGAGGTTAATACCCCATTGAACCTCATTTTGCCTCAACTTTTTACGTTTGCCCCACCTGTCTTTCTTCTGGCTATGCCTCTGGACGTAAGATAAAATGACCGCACTGAAATAACCTCGATGATGAATTCATATCATATCAGGAAACGTTACTGTGTTTAGAATAATAGCCTAGTTAATTTCTAGACTCGGATAGATTATTTCTACGAAATGAACAGTGCAAAAAACGTTAATGTCGGTAACTGTTCCTGGCAAGCATATTTGAAAAAGCTCTACTATTAGGTAGATCAAGCGACACGTCTCAATACGATCTTGTACGTGAATGTGTAGTAACCCCAGGGATATCAATTGTTTTTTCCAGGGACCTACTGTATATCACAACAATTTTCCTTATAGCTTCATACTCAATCGTGCAAGTGAATACTTCAACGGCGATACCGGAAACTAATCCCTAAACCATGATTCTAAACAATCACGTACAAGTTATTTTAAAAACGTGTAGCTGAATCTCCCTATTCAGAAATATACTTTCACCTGTAGAATCAAATAATGGTACGTAAGTCGACCAATATATTCCAGTTCCAAGGATTGTATACGTAAATAGTGGATGGATATACTGCATGTATAAACATCTCGTATATTTCCATATCGGTAAGAATAAAAACCAATCTATATCATTACAGACAATTTGGACGGTATACGTGCATCTATAAATTCATTCTCGTGTCACAGTGACCGCTATTTAGTAATCGTATAATTACAGCATCATAAAAATGCAAAGATAGCCGCTCTCAATCATAGAGAATGGGAATTGAAGAATAAAGAATATTGTACGACGATGCCTTTGTAGATAATATCATATCTAAGAAAAAGAAGGCCGTTTTATCAGCAAACGAGTAATAACGAGTGTTATAGAATAAATTAGTAAGTTTCATATTTAGTGTTTATTTCTTTATATTAACTTAAAAGTCTAACGAATTCTCGATAGATGGAGCAAATGATGGAAAGCCATAATAACTTGGATGTCAGGGTTCAATTTTACATTTTTGTACTAGAAGCACTCTTTAAAACTGAATCAAATAATCAGTTCAGTGTGTATTTAAAGTAATAGCCTGTCAATACAATGTGATGGAGAACTAGGCCATATACGTCTATTCTTAAATTAGTTAATTCCATGCACACGACGATACCTCTAATGCGCGCAAGATCTGCTATAACCCTTATCATAAATAATCATTTGCTCCCTGTCAACTTAAATGAATTACTCTTACGTCAAATCCAATGAAATGTGTTCATTAATTCGAATAATTCGCAATTCTGCCTTCATATAGTGAGGTTCCAATTTTGAGCACAATCCGAAACCGTTCAGTCACGATAACAGAATGCGTTGGGCTCTGTAAGACGTTTACAGTAAATTCTTCAGAATAAATAGTTGGATATTTTTGATAAGTTGAAAAAACTGTTTGCCACAAATTGAAGAAAAAATATGCAATTCATATCTAAGAATATGTTCATTAATATGCTCACATACAAATATTATGAGTTTTATTTGTTTATCTGTTATAGCTTTATACTAAAATGTCATTTATTTAAAGATCGGCTATAACAATAAAATATAAAATAACACATCAAAATAACAAAAAGGGAAACGCTTTGGAAACGTTTATATAAGTTTAGTGTTCTTTATTGTAAATCTACAATCTATAACTTTTGGTATAGTGATTTAAAACATAGCGCCTACCCTGTGCATTCGTTCGACTTCACAATTCTTAAAGAGAGCTCCATCTTCAATTAGACTCTGCGCCCAGGGTAAATAGAGCCCATCCAATGATTGCACAAGGTTCAGTCACAGTGTGCGTTGTATACAATCTTGCACACAAGCTCTCTTGACTTATTATTGATGTCTGTATACCTATGATATATTGTGTTTAAGTTATGTACAGACCGTGATAAAATAAGCTATATCAAATATGGTTTTAGGCTTTGTCCGTTTGCCCGGCAAGTGTACGGCCAGCTTAAAAGAGATATTAGAAATAAAAATTTACCGTACTATTCTTCTAACAAAATGTGTACGTGAGAAAACAGACTATAATATCACTGTCAAGATGGTTGGTCGAAACCTGGTCATAAATCATGAATTATCAGACGATATTCATTTGCCGCTTATTGGATAACAGGTATCTAGCGATATTCACCGTTCCCGGGAATTTTTGAAATCATTTTCATTTCGTTCAGAGTAACACCCATGGCACTACTAAACATAGTCCCAATGAATCACACGAAAAATAATGTGGCATCATTTAATTACAAGGCGCGATAGATATGGTAAAATGAATCGTTGCGTAACGTTATAACATATCTATTAATCGTGAATATCGAATTATCTTTTTGCTCCAGTAAAGTTGGAAATGAAGAGTCGGGGCTACAATAAATAATAATAACTCTTTGATTAAACTTCGGGTATTGACCTAGGTTTGACACATTAGCGTCAGAAAAAAAAATGATTGATTACGTTACGATCAGTTCATGGCAAGAGTAATTAGTGTTGATGTTTTTTCGAGACATTAAACTGATCCTTGGCACATCCTGTTATTCTAGCAAAACCTCCAACTCTCAGGTCTTTACGTTTAATATTCATAGGGTAAACGATAAGGTAAAGAAAGAAGGGACCTTTAGAGCTGACGAGTTATCTGATTTCCACTTGCTGTTTGTTTTGTCCGAGGCTTCAAACTTCTTCTGTTATCTTTCTTTAAGTATTCTTTAATAACTGTCGACGGGTTATCGGGGTTTAGCCCAGGACAACCTCTGGAACGGCAATCTTTAATTGCTTCAATGACTGCGTTCCGAAGGTGAAACGTAGACATAAATGTACCCTTATCATCAATTTTTCAGATTGAGTAGCATCATCAGTATCATCAGATTCTTTGTAGTTGACAGAATAAAAGATATAGTCTTTATTAAAAACAGATTGATGTT